ATTGTCATGAGTTTAATATTATTTAAGTTCTGATTAAATTTTATCAGTGCTTTAATAATGACTCTTGGAAATGTGTCTAGCAGTCTAATTTATTAATATTCTCTTAATTACTATAAGCTTATGTTTGATCTCCTTTAACTGTCGTTTCTGTGTCAGTTTCACTTTAATGTACTTTCAGAAAAATCTAAAAGAAATTATTGGAATGTACTTGCATGCTGAAAAGAACTCTTGGTCAAAATAAACTTTTTCATTAATTAAACTAAGGGATTAATTTTTTTATAAATGGGGTACAAGATGATTTCTAGATGAGATTCCTAGCTAGAGCATCTCGTGCCTAGCGGTGTCCACTATTTTCATTGTCTACCTCCCCATCTTCAAAATCAATCACCTCTTCCTCTTATATAGCTGGAAGTGAGCGGTAGAACTGGTTGTTGATCCTATTTTTCTTCCTTGACCTTTTCATGCTTCTTCTCCTTGGCTTAAAGGCATCTACTGTTGAACCTTCTTCTGAAGGTCGTTCAGGTGCTGCTGGAGTAGCCTATTTAGAAGCAAGTTGTGTTAAGGGTAATGACACAATTGTAGAGGACTAAAAAGCAGCTCGCCACTGAGGGGATTAGGTTGCTAAGCTTGTAGAGCTCTCAGTTATATCTGTTACCACATATGTATTATGACTCTTAGTTGATGACTCCATATCTTTTGGTAGATGATTGATGAAAATTACTAAGGAGTTGGATGCTTTTATAATGACTTTTATGGATACCAAGAGTCTAAAATTAATCCTTGTTTAATTCTTGAAATAAGTAACGACCACTAAGATTTCAAAACATGCACCTTACAAACCTTAATGACTTTTATTACTTGTTTACTTTTCCTCTTTGGAAGCTGATCCGGTAATGATGATCTGAGATACATTTATTTGTGATATTCTTTCTCTTTCCCTTCTTTTCCTTTATTCTTTTTAATTTGACAAAAGGGGAAAACTAATAGTAAGTATTTAAGTGGAAACTGAACCCATTGAATACATGTTCTGTACATATTGGTTATTTATTTTCTGTTTAATGGTTACTTTACCCAGGGCGTATTTTAAATTTATTATACATAGGTCTAAGGAAGAGCTTACAAACCTCAGGCTTAGCCTATTAGACCCAGAAGAAGTTTACAAAACTCATATTTGGTGTTGACAAGGAAAGTAAAAAAAAGGCAACATATTTTAACTCTCTTGGATATAGTATTAAGAAAGAGCTTACAAACCTCTGACTTAGCCTATGAGACTCAGGAGGAGCTTACAAACCTCGTATTTTGGTGTTGCCAAAAGGAGTTAAAATGTTTTTATTTTGGTGTTCTTAAAATATAGAACTAAGGGGAAGCTTACAAACCTCTACCTTAGAACTGTTTGACTCAGGGGGAGCTTACAAACCTCAGACCCTGATGTTACTAAGAAGACTAATTTATTTTTCTTGAAAAAAAGTTCTTAATGTTAGAGTAAATTAAACTCAGCTGTGAATTATCAGACTCAGAGGGAGCTTACAATCTCATACCCTGTTTTTGCAGAGAAAATTAAATGTCCAACATTGTCCTTTAAATACTTGTGTTTGTCATAATAAAAAAAGGGGAGATTTTTAGAACAATATTTGTTCTTGACATATTCTCTTTTATTTTTTATGATAACAAAAGTATTAAAAGAATAATGGTTTATTTGATGTGTGTTTTATTTATGCATGTTCTTGTACATAAATAATCAGAATCTGTTTTACTTAGACACACTTGGAGTTGCTTCATTGCTAGCTTCTAGTGGCAGAGTCTGAAGAACAATTGCTAGTGTGACTTGGCACAAACTCTAAGTTGAAGGTCTCAGCATTCAGACGAGTTAATACACTTGGTAATTGTATATCAACATCTATTACCATTCATAGTTGGTGATAAAACTGTGGATTTTTCATATTGCAAAAAAGCAAGTTGTATTGTCTTATTAGCTTGTCAGCTAGAGTCTATAAGATTGCAAAGCTCAAGAACGGTTGATATGTTCTACGGACGTTTGTTTCCAACGACTCTATCAGTACAAAACCTCTTGAAGACTCAAAGGTTAAACGTGTTACATACTGGATTCAGAATGTGTTGTGCATCTATCTTCAAAGTCTCTTGTATTATATGGTAAAAGAAAAGACACTTGGTCAAGTCATTTTCTCAACGACTAATTTTTGGAAAGACTATATATATGGCTGAAGATTCAAGTTTGAATCTTAACTAGGAATCTTCTAATGAAGAAGCAGCAAGATCAAGCAATTATCAACACTATGTAATATGCAAATTTTCTGTTTTAGGTCGTAATTGTAAAAGTCTTAAGATTTCTTACCTCTGTATATATTAGAAATCTTAAGTAATTTAGGACTTTGTTAAGGTGATTTCCCGTACCTCTGATACTTGTATCATATACACCTTATTCTCTATTCTACTGAGCCTTCAGTAGTTTAGATTAAGTCTCATGTTATGTGCTTAAGAAAAATGTCTTGTCTCATTGGGATTCAAGCAACAAGTTTTGAGTCAAGATGCTTAAGCCACGTAAGTCTCATTGCTTAAGTGCTTGAGGTGTGAAAGTCTTATTCAGCTAGTCTGATTGAGCAAAAGGAAAGTCTTCTTCTGATAGGTGAGAGCAAGAAGTCTCAAGTGCGGCTTGAGTAAGAGAAGTCTCAGTCTGAATGGCCAGAAGAGCAGGTGGCTCGACCAAAGGATGTGAGCCAATGGAAGTCTTAGACATGTGCTCTAAGCAAAGGGATGTCTCAACCAAAAGATAGATGAGCAGGTGACTCAGTCAGATGGTGTGAGCATAGGTTAAGTCATAAACATGCGCTCTAAGGAAGGGAAGTCTCAGATAATTGGTCTGAGCAGTTGTAAAAGTCTTATGCAGAAGCATAAACGGTTGTAATCATGAAGTGATTATAATGAGAAGCTCTTGTAAGGCAAGGGGACTAGACTACTCACAATTAGGGGAGGAACTAGTATAAATCTTGTGTGTCTTCTGTTGTTATTTTATTTACTTCTATTGTATTCGCTGCCAAACGAACTAACTCAAAATCTGAACATCAGTTCTGATTCTGAAACTCTGATCAGAAGTTAAACTATAAGAAAACGCGAAACACAATTCAACCCCCTTTCTTGTGTACTTTTCACACCTTCACCCTTTCCAAAAGGCAGTGAGATAATTTTAAAGTTTAAGGCGATGGCTATGAGAACCCCTTACCAATTGCAGGGAGACAATCTTAGAGTTGAGTTGTGAATAATCTGAAGGGTTAGAGTTGAGTTGATTTTGTTTAGAGTAGTTATGATTAAATGAGTTAAGGTTAGAGTACGCATTGGACTCTTTATTTTTGAATATATATAGGAAAACGTTATTTTTGAGCTATGTTGAGTTATGAGGCAACCTTGTTGATTTTGATGATTGTGTAATGCTATTTTCTTACATTGTTGGTAAGCATTGTTGAGTAATAATTTTGTGTTATAATTATATACTACGCTGAGTTATGTTGAGACGTGTAGTTCAGAGAGGAACTATGGTGATGACCTTATATTGACAATGGTAGGAGTTTAGAGAAGGACTAATGATGATTTATGTATTGATCTTTGTTTTATTGCATTTCATACATCATGTATATTGGAGATATGTGTACAGACTTCAGTTCATGCACGAACTGTAGGTCCAAAAGAGGGGACTAGTGACAAGTCTGAGTTCAGAGAGAAACCATCGGTGAGTGGATGAATCATTAACATAACTCTGATATCCAAATTTGGTACCACGTGCATTGGAGTAGTATAGTTGATGCATTGCATACATATTTGCATTGCGATTGAGTAACAGTTGTGAATGACTCATATGATTGATGATTGTTATGAATTATGTTATCCTTGTTGTATTTTACACCGTTAACATTAATGAATGTATTCTCACCCCTGATTGTTTTGTTTGTGGTGTTTTGTATGCTTGTGGTACATATACCCAAGGAGAATAGCACTAGCTGCTGTTGAGTTAGAGGATGACGTAGAGACATTCTTCATTATTTTATTTTTTCGAGTTATTTTAGTTGTCGCTCTGATATGTAACACTAAGATGCGTTACTTTGTTACTTTTGTGCTCTGAGAGTTTTTATTTATTTTATGAAGTATTTTTTTAGACAAATAAACAATTTCAAATTTTTTTTAAGTTCCACCGCTGATTTATATTATAATTTTGAAAAATGTTGAAAATATGTTATATTTTCTTAAATAAAAGGGTGTCGAATTTTAAGGTGTTACATAGTTGGTGTCAGAGTAGGTGAGTTCATTCAACCTAGTTTTTGTAAAATTGTTTATACTTTAGTGTGCGACATGTGTGCAAAATTTTTCTCTATCTCATAAAAAAATGTTTCATTTGAACTTTTTTTTTTTATCTAAAAATTATTTTTCCTTTATAATACCAATGCAACATTTGTTATTATTTTTTCATTAATATATTTTTACTTTTTAACTTTTACTTTTTTTTAACTACTCTTTTAACTACAATTGATAAGTGATAATGATATTTAATAAATAATATTAGTTTTATCATTGAAATTAATATATTTTATCATTTTAATAATAATCGTATATTTATTAAATATGACATTTTTTTTATGAGACATAGAAGAAGCAAATAGTAAGGCTAAAAGGCTAAAAAGTAGTGGTCCACCCATGGACCAATCTTTTCATTTCTTACGTGATGAAAATAACTTACAATGACACACAAGAAACATATAAACAAAACAAAACAAAATTTTCACCTAATAAAGTGAAAAGTGAAAAGGACACTACAAGCTACTATCAAATTCTCTGACACACTTTTGATCTTCAGCTGTTTCAAAACCTTGTGAAGTTATCAAGTATCAACTCTCATTAGATATTATTATCCAATCCCATTTGTGTACTCATTCACTCCACAACTCCATTCTCAACACAGAAAATTTCAAACTTACCATAATTGCAAAATAAAAATGCAATCATTAACTTCCATTCTAGCTTTCTTCATTTTCTTAACATCAATATCACACCCTTCACATTCAAACACAGTCCCTTCTTATCCCACCCCAACTCAATCCCAAATATGCAAACTAGACCTCTCCAACGAACTCTTCGGCGGCGTAAACGTCGCCTGCGGCAACAACCTCGACCGAAGCCGCTGTTGTCCTGTGCTCGCTGCTTGGCTCTTCGCTGCTCACGCGCGAAGAGCCTTGGAGATTTCTCCTCCACCTTCGGAAAATGCCATCGACCTTCCTAGAATGCCGGACGACTCTCAGAAGTGTGTTAACTCACTGCAAGACTCGCTTCGGAACAGAAACATTATAATCCCGACACCAAATGCAAGCTGTGATGCCGTTTTATGTTTCTGTGGAATCAGGCTTCATCAGATAAGCTCATTAAATTGCCCAACCGCTTTTAATGTTTCTGATTCTAATACCACGGTTGGCAATCTGCCTGGTTCTCATAAAGCTACTCCTACTGCTGCGGTTCGCGATTTGGAGAAGAATTGCCGTAATTCTTCTTATGCTGGTTGCACCAATTGTCTTGCTACATTGCAAAAGGTAAGTTAATCAATTAGAGAGTCTCAGATACCTACATCTCTGAAAGAAAATGTGTCTGTGTCTAGTGTCTGTGTCCAGTGTCCAGACACATTTTCTTTTTTAAAGTTTTACTAGTGTCAATGTATCAGTGTTGATGTGATGTTTTCAAAATTTGATTAATGAATGAATGTGCAGATAAAAGTGCACAAGAAAGAGAGCAAGGAAAGTGACCGGGAACGGAAGATGTTTAACCGGGACTGTCAACTGATGGCACTAACATGGCTGTTGGGGAAGAACAAGACGTTGTATATACCAACAGTATCAGCGGTGTTACGTGCTGTAATGTACAGTGCTCATCCACACGATATAATGTGTAGTCCAGACCAGGAGAACATGCCTTTGGCCGTTGATTCGATGCAGTTCGATCACACGAGTAGTAGCGAAGCACAATCTCGGCCGTTGTTTTGGAGTATGATTGTTGTTATGATTGGGGTTGTGATGTGATTGCGAGGGTTTGTGTGTTAGTCACGTGAAACTATATTATTGGAAAAATGTATATGCAAAGAGACAAAGAGGTACGTTTCAGTTTTGTCCGGTTTTGATGTATGATCGAATAATTCAGCTTTGGGGCAAACAAAAAGAAGAGACAGTGCAACTTGCAAGTTAGACAAATGACAACTATTCAAAGAATGTGATTTTACATGTCACGGGCTCTTATATGTTTGCTTATTACTCTTTGGATACCACAATGTTTGCTTAATATTATATATGTGATGCTATCTATAATTAGAAGTTTTGTTATATAAAAAATTTTACAAAATAATTTTGAGCGAGTTATAGTGATAACAAAGTAATATAAGTATAACTCGATGATAACAACCGAGACATTTAACACCCCGGCTTAGGACTAGGAGTTGGGACAAAAGAGAAACTTTTGAACGTTAGAACTACAGAAAAGATCAAGTGAAGTATAATGAAGAAGTCGACAAAACAAAAATGCACATGCAAATGTTTTTAAAAGCTTAGGAAGTATGTATGCACCTACGTTAGTCTTTTTCGAAGAAATGAAGGTACAAGTTTAAAGAAAAAAGATTATATAATAATTAACTTAAAAGTAGAGTCAAATACAATCACCTAATAAAAGAAAGAAATTTTTTAAAGTAGGAATTCGTTCATAAAGAATTAAATTTGAACCTACATGGTAAGTGGTTTTGTCCAAGTATTCTACTCATAGAAAATATGACAAATTCGCAGCTTCAAATTCAATTTAAACAACTGCGCAATTTGTTGTATCAATTGCATTTCAATTATATTATTTTGGCCAAAATGCAAAATATTTTGAACAATTATTTATGAATGTTTATGAAATTCAATAGTTTGAAACTCAAACTCTTTTGTTAATATTAATTCATCTAGCACACCCTAAAGTTCAACAATATATGCATTAAAAGAACCCAAATATCTTGGAAAACCTCCAAACCACTCACATGTACAATCTCTTAAAAGACAACCACATCCATCTATCAAGTCATCCTTACTAGCTTCATCCGTGTTCAATTTCATCCAACTTGAAGAAGAAAGAGTCCGCCGGATTTGCTTAGCCTCTCGAACTAACTCAATCTTATTACTTTGCAGCTCTGCTATCAAAAAATACTCATAAGTAACTTTAGTGACATGCCGCCACAAAATCAAACATATTATCATACCACTAACCCTATGTTAAATCATTTAGGTAACACTATCGTATCAATAACCCTATGTTATAATCATTTAGGGGAAACGTGGATGACAATCATGAAAGTATAGCCACGTTATCGTATGATATCGTTTTCTTTATTTTGATGTTTTTGTCAATTTTAGTGTAAATGACAATGTTTATTCGCTTATTTGTAATTTGCTTCTTATTCAAATATTTACGTGTATGGAATTCATTTGAAATTTGAGTTGCATTGTGTTTGCTTCGGCTATATAGTATTTGATCTCACCTGATCAAAAAGAGTCACTGGCCGGCCACACGTCTGAGTTGTCTGACTGTTGGGGATAATTGATGGGGTGTGCCTGAAACACACTCTGATGTCAAAGTAAGAGTCAGACAGAGTGATAACAAGTACAGAAAGAGAAGTAAGAATGAGATTACCTGATCCTTTAGTGAAAGAGGGTATTTATAGTGTGCCCCCAACGCAGGGCCAATGGTTACTTCGCGTTGGGTTGGGTTGTCAGGCCCAATGCTGGTAACTGTTAGGGCTGATGTGGCGCCAGGAAGATCAGCATGTGGTCTTTGCCTTAGTGTAATTGCTCCGTGCTATCCGGGAGGTGGTGGACTGAATAATCAGGGCACATGTAGTTACCTGATGACATGTCTCCGCGTAGGGGACACATTGAGAACGTGGGGGAGTTCAGAGGAGCCCTCCGAGCTGGATAGGGTATGTCTGACGGTTGGACAGAAGGGAGCGCGTGTCTGGAAGGGGTGAGGTGTCTGCTCGACGGGGAGGCGGTTTAGGTCTTATTGGGCCTTCCAACCCGATGTGGGTTTGGACTTGCTCGACTGTGGGCCAAGTGTCGGCTCAGTCCGGAATAGTATTGTATCACTAAGACCCTTCATTATTTAATAATTTAGAGTTTTGAACCATGATAGTGCTTCTTTATTAGCCTAACATATTCTTTTTTGACGTTTTATCAGGTGTTACTTGAATCACAAGTTATAACACTTAAATTAAGGTGTAAATTCATTTGATTAGAGTCAAAGGTTATGTATGACTCGAATCATGAACATTGTGAAAATTTGAATTTGCCTTTGGGCGATTTGACTCGAATAATAAATTTAACTTGACTCGAGGGTTGTAGATTTTTCCACCTTTTTTTTTCATTTTATTTGTTTTCTTTTTCTATTTTATTTATAAAATTCATTAAAAATAGCTCCCTTCATATTTTTCACTCTAAATTTTTTTTCATATTTTTCTAAAACTATTTTCTATTTTGTGAATATTTTTCTATATTTTTATTCCTTGATTTGATATTTTTCATTATTTTTTTTATTTTTATGCATTTTAATTTGTTTAAAATTACTTTTATGCACTTTTAAATTCTCCAAAAAAATTATGTGATCCTTGAGTTGTTTCTGACTTGTAGTATTTTGCTTGATCATTTGATTTTAGTTTAGAGGCATCTTTCTCATTTTCTTTCTTGTTCTCATTTTAAAAAATCATTTAAAAATATTTTCATGCATTTTAATTGTGTATTATTGCCTTTTTGGTTTGCTTACTGGTTGTTGTCTTGGATCATAACTTGTTGATCAAGTTTATCTTCAATTTCAATGGACGTTGGATGTTGATGAGTGTCGCTACTGCGAAAATCGGCACCGGCTAAACAGAAGAGTCGCCACCGTGCGTTATTTATCCCACAAGAGGGAAAGGAAATGCTCAGAGTAAACCTCACGTAAAGACGGGAAAGGAATGGTCATCGCAACCAAATCCTGGATTCGGGAGTCGGTTACGCAAAGGGAAGGTATTAGCACCCCTCACGTCCGTCGTACTCGACGGGATCCACGCTTGCTTGGTTTGTCTAAAGGATGCAAAAAAATCTATCTACGGCTGCTAAATCTAAACGGAAAGAAACTGACTCGATAGAGCATCGCACTCTATGCCTATGTATTCTCAAGAGAGAAAGTCAGAGTCATCGTAGTTCGGGAAACTACAGGGAATTGGCTCGCCAAGACTTCGCGTCTTGTGCCTACGTACTTCCACACAGCGTGGAAGATCAGAGCTTACGTAGTTCAGGCTAACTACGGCTAAATAGGGTGTTCTCGATCATACAGGGGTGAGAGATTAATTTGGCTTGAAAGGTACGGGAACCTACGGGTACTAGAACTATGGTCTGGTCTCAAATGCGCAAGGGCAAGAGAAATGGATAACATTAGTCGTCAGCGGGAAAGTCTCGATCGCACAACAGCAAGAAAACAGAGAGGTTAGTTGTTAGTGTGCTCGCTAGGATATCGCATCCTATGCCTACATATTCTCATTCGGTATGGGAAATCAGAGCAGCTGTAGTTCGACGGGAAAACGAGTCTCGATTGCACGGGGGCGAGAGAAGGGGTCTCGATCGCCTGAACGTGAGAGAAAAGGGGTTTCGCTCGCACGGGGCGGGAACAAAGAGGAAGCAGGCCTACGCCTAAACGGGAAGGAACTCGGGACACGCACGCAAGAACCTAAGACGTAGGAGCGAATGTGTCGCATGGCATCCTAAGGGTACCATACTAGACATCCTAGACGATTAAGAAGTAACTCCTCAACTGTCATTTCCTTCGTATCTAACGATGCGACTCACAACACTCGACGGTTGCCTGAAGACTTGAATACGACGATGATGATGTTGGACGAAGCAGCTCCTGGGCTCCTGACGTGTGCGCAAGCTTCATTCCAATCTTCTCCTCTCTAGATATTTGATGATGACGCTCGAATCAGAACCAATGTAACGCTTAGACTGTCATGGTTCAACTTATACGAGAAATCGAACTCTAAGAGGTAGTGTATTGATATCTGTGTCAAAGACAAGATAGAGAAATGATATCGAAAATCATTCTCCAATTGAATCGTGTCACACGGCCAGCCAAAAATAAAATCGGGATAAAATCAGATAGAAACGAAAATATGAGAGAAATCCAACACAAAATGGAAATAAAATGCTACTCCTAAAATACGGCAATTAAAGTCCTAAGGGAACTATATCCTAAAAATAATTATATCTATAAATCTCCTAAAAATTACTCTTAAAACCTATGCTAAGCATTATAATATTCTAGGAAAATAAACTCCATAATTCCTATACAAAAATATGCTTTAATGCTCTTAAAGGGAAATAACCTATAATTTCCTATGCTAAGAATTAATAAAATTCTAGGAAATATTAAACTGTCACTAAAAACATTACAATTAAAATTGTAATAAAAATGTTAACACTAATAAAATGCACAGGGGGGGGGGGGGAGGGGGTAGTAATTGTTACAGGGGATGATGCCAGCAAAAATAACTGGGCCCAGCCCATCACAAAACCACACAAACTGGGAGGAGGGCAAGCCAAAAACGGGGGTGTTTACGTTACAAAAAAAAAACCAATGGGCCTTTGAGCCCAGTTCACCATCCACGTATCACTTCTCATTCTTCAGAAACACAAAACCCTAAGTGCCTCTACCACTCCCAAACACTGTTCACAGCTCTCACATGCGCCGCTCCTCTCTCACTCTCAGACTCTCTCAATCTTCCCACAAACTCTCTCGCAAACTTCTCTCACAACACCTTACTATCAAACTTTGTTCAAATCTCACAAAAGAACAAATGAATCAAAACTACCACGTCATAAGAAATGCAAATCGCGGGAATCAACACCCATCCTTTGACGTTCTTGAGGACCGGTAGTCGCTGATGAAGCTTTGAAGAGCCACTCGAAGGCGTAATGAAGGAGATGGTTGGAGATGAAGTTGAAGATGAATACCGTTCTTGAAAATCGGT